GACTTGTTTACGGAGATGGCTGGTTCTTCTTCTTCCAATTCGTGTTTCAAAGAAGGCAAATTTAGGGCACCAGGGTTTCGATTTCACCCTACCGATGAGGAGCTTGTTGTGTATTATCTCAAGAGGAAGATCTGTAACAAAAAGCTTAAAGTCGATGTCATTGGCGTCACTGATGTTTACAAAGTTGATCCCTCTGAATTGCCTGGTAAATCTCAATCGCTGCGATTTGGGTTTTTTTCTTTTTTCTTAAGCTTGTTTGTGATCGTTACCGATAGGTTTGGATATTAGTTTTATAATACAGTGGAAATAATCTGTTGCAGGTTTATCGTTGTTGAAGACTGGAGATCGTCAGTGGTTCTTTTTCACTCCGAGGAGCCGGAAGTATCCAAACGCAGCTAGGTCAGGTAGAGGAACTGCAAGTGGGTATTGGAAGGCAACAGGAAAAGATCGAGTCATTGAGTACAATTCCAGATCGGTAGGACTCAAAAAGACTCTTGTTTTCTATAGAGGTCGTGCACCTAATGGTGAGCGAACTGACTGGGTGATGCATGAGTACACAGTGAATGAAGAAGAACTCGAGAGATGTAAGAACGTCAAGGTATGTAATGGATTATACCCAACAAAATCTCTGTTTGTGTATGTTTGTCACTAATTAATCTGCCTTCCTTGTTTTTCAATTCAGGATTATTATGCTCTTTATAAGCTGTACAAGAAAAGTGGGGCTGGTCCCAAAAATGGTGAACAATATGGTGCTCCATTCCAAGAAGAAGAATGGGTTGATGATGATAGTGAAGACGCAGATAATGTTGATGTACCGGATGAGCCTTTGGTCCATCATGAGAACATTCATCGTGTGGATGATAATATGTTTTGCAAGCCTGTCAATGTTCAGTTAGATGATTTCGGGAAGCTTGTCAACAGAATCCCTGATGCACCTGGTGTTTTTCCAAGACAAATTAATGAGTTTGCTGGTGCTCGTCTGGTCAGTCTTTTCTCTCTTTCAGTGAGGAATATGGTTTTGCGACCAATATATTGGATTATGCTTGTTTCTTTATATATGCTCATTCTTTTGTGCTTCCTTCACTAAAATGGATACTTGTACTTGCAGGGCTATAGCCAAGCAGAGAGACAGAGCGCATTGCTGAATAACTCTTCTGGAAAGTTTCTTGCCAACCGGAAAATCGGAGAGTTCTTGCCAAATGGCCAGCCATACAACAGGCAGTCGAGTTTTCAGTCTTATCCGAGGTCAGCAAACTCATTTGAGGCTACCTTTGGTAATGCACCTCTAGTGTTTGAGAAGGAGGATTACATTGAAATGGATGATCTTCTGATCCCTGAACTTGGAGCTTCTTCAACTGAGAAATCCACACAATTCTTGAACCATGGTGAATTAGGTGACCAGAATGAGTTTGACCAATTGTTCTATGACATTTCCATGCCTTTGGATGTAGAACCTGTTTTTCAGGAAACTTCCACCGGTCTGTCTTCTCTGAGTAATTTTGCTAACAATGCATTAGACCAAAGACAGCAGTTCGTCTATCAAGACCAGACCTCTGAGAACCAGCTGAACAACTTCATGGGTTCTAGTACAACTCTCAATCAGTTCACTGACGATCTGTGGTTTAAAGATGATCAGGCTGTTGTTTTTGATCAGCGGCAATCTCCTCCTGGAGCATTTGCGTCACCTTTATCAGGTACTTACACTCATGCTCGTCTCGGAGCATTTACTTATATTGTCTGACAAGTTTTTGCATTTGTCTTTGACGCGAACCAATACCCATATAAATGTATATATATGATATGATACGCTGCTTTTGGTTAAACCTCGATTATCAAACCCTCATATTAAGATGTTGAAATGTAATAGCCTTTCCGCTGATACTTTGTGAATACCAATTTGCTTAGGTGTGAACCCTGAGTCTACGAATCCTACTACGAGGGTAAATGCCCAAGACCAGGAAGGCCAAAATGGTAGTGGAACAACAAGCCAGTTCTCATCAGCACTGTGGGCATTTATGGATTCAATACCTTCAAAGCCAGCCTCTGCTTGTGAAGGTCCTCTTAATGGAACCTTTGTGCGAATGTCGAGCTTTAGCCGCATCAGGTTTAATGGAATGTCAGTGACTACTAGCAAAGTCACCATAGCAAAGAAGCGTATCAGAAACAGAGGATTTCTACTTTTATCAATTATGGGTGCTTTGTGTGCCGTCTTCTGGCTTTTCATAGCCACTGTTGGAGTCTTGGGGAGACCTGTCTTGTCGTGACCTAGACTCTTGATTCAGGATAAGTTATAGAAGAAACGATGATCCACATTAGTAGTGATCATGGAATTGATATATAGAGCTTTGATTTATGTAAAGAGCTTGAAAGAGTTGAAGGTTTGTTTTTTCTTTTTGGTGCTTTTGATTTCACATCTTATGGGTTATCATATTCACACAGCCTCAGGAGATGAGCTAAATCTCGAATAAAGAGAAGAGAATTTGTCTTGGGTAAATTTGTTTGCTAACCAAGGAATATAAAAATATCAATTTGAATACTGTCTATGGATAACAAAAGCCTACATTGTCTCATTTTCATTTTTC